TAGGCAATTAAATTACCTGCAATTTAAGGTATCTAAAGTCATATTTCACCTATTTGTTAACTGTAAAATAAAGATTGAACGCGGAAATATCAGTTTTCGAAAATTTTGCACTATTATTGCGAAACGCGATGGATGTTGATGAAATTTATGGAAAAACCCGTCAATCCAAAGACCAACATGTATGCCAAAGCCCGATTCGATTGACCGTGAAATTGTTGCTCCAAGTATTTTTGTTTTGCAACTAATTGTTTACGTACTAAACGTTAATTTTAGTTGTTAATATCATAGATATAGGTTCTAATTGATACAAAGAAATGTATCGAAAAATAAAAATTTCAAAAAGTTGAAATTAAATTGTCTTTTACATCTAACAAAGTAAGACGTGCAAAACAATCTTATAGGTACACAAATTGTTCCAGGGTCAGGTAAAAGCCGTTCTCGAATTTGCTCTTTTTGCATTAAATAGAGCTTATTTTTACGGTAATTTAAAAAAAAAAAAGAGAGAAATCACCTACACCTCTTTGCCCAAGATAACTTTATTTTTATAATGTTAATGTTAATTAACTATTGGACGTATCGGATCGGGATTTTAGAGACAATTAATGAAAGGGTTAAACTATTATTTCCAAAAAGTTTTACATTGATAGTTCATAAGCTCTATTTAATGCAAAAAGAGCGAACTCCCGAATTTGCCTGACCCTGGGAAAATTTGTTTATAACGCTGTTTTGCACGTCCTATTTTGTTAGTTTAATTTCAACTTTTTGAAATTTTTCTTTTTCCATTTCTTTGGATCAATTAGAACCTATATCTATGATATTAACATCTAAGTTAATGTTTAGTAATTAAACAATTAGTTGCAAAAAGACAAACGAAATTAATTAACAAATGGCTGGAGCAACAATTCCACGCTCAATCGTATCGGCCTTTGTTGATTATTGGATTGGTATTGACCATTTTTTCCATAAATTTCATCAACATTCATCGCTTTTTGAAATAATAATGCGAAATTTACGAAAACTTATATTTCCATGTTCTACCTTTATTTTACAGTTAACAAATTAGTGAAAAATGACTTTAGGTACCTTAAATTGTAGGTAATTTAATTGCCTACAGCATAAAACAACTAATATTCCGATAGGTCGTCTACATTCTCGTAAACAGTAAAAGAATTGAAAAAACACGTAAATTTGCCACTTATTTGAAATTTGCCAACTTAGCGTCACTTCTTTCGAGTTACTTTTTTGATATTATCATTCTACATACCCTTCCCAGTCCTAAAGTGCAATAAAATGTCTACTAATAATAAGTTTTCAGGGTGTATGATCTAATTCGACTAGAATATGGTATCGTGTAATTATTTGATCAAAGAGAAATTATTGGAATTCAAAACTCCTACTGTTCGTAGTAAATGTAGGAATCATTTAAATTCGTTTTAATTCTAACCGCGTTTTGCAATTGACTACTTACAATTAGAACTGCTATAATAAATGGTATAAATAAATTTTATTCAGTGGTAAGTGATAAGCCAGAGTTGGCAAGTGATGAAATATATAAATAATTATGTAAAATATTGACGATGAAAATTATTCCTCTTTTTAAAATAAGGTAATATTATTAATTATAGCCCCTATGAATTCAATATATTTTAAGATTCTTGCTTTGAATGAATTAAAAGAATGCATTCGAATCGCAGATTTTCAAGAGTTGTCATAGAAGTATCAATTATTTTTAATATATTTTTTTAGTAGTAATCATTAACATTAACTTTAAAATTCATTGAAGAAATAAACTTGATTTTTTTGACCTAGAAGGGTCATGTCTTTAATAACTAAAGCAATAAATAAAAATAAATGCATTAAGCTTAATAAGGAGCAAGGTCATAGTGTTCAGTTTATACAACCATTCATTATAAAAAAGAGAGACTGCAAATTGAATATTCTAATTCTAGATACCTAATTGCTCATACTGATATTACTAATGTTAGTAAAGTAAAACGATTCCTTTGATTTATTTACATAGTTCCAATAGTATGAAGACAATCAATTGGTGATCTTCATTGAAAAAATCGAGCAAAAAATTTACTAAACTCACTCTATACAAGTGTGACAAACTATACATATACCTTTGGGAAGCTTAGAATACCCTCTTTTTAACTAGACCATAGTTAACTATGGTTTCTATAAAAAAAATGTAACATTTGACATATAAGTTGAAATCCGTTACAGTTGGATTATACGCAAAAAATGTCAAAAGGTAAAGTGTCAACATTTCAAAAAAGTGTAACTGTCAGTGTAACTGTAACCAAATGTAACTGTAACCCAAGTTATCAAAATGCATTTTTTTCCTGTAACACCCAAATTTATATCCAAAAGATGACCAATTTTCACGAAAACCGGAACATTCTGTTTTTAATAATAAATGACATCCAAATTAGGATGCACTGTACATAAATCGATCACCGAAACTACACCCTGGAAGGTAAAAGGACTTTGTTATCGGGATGCTTTCAAACTTGGAGAAGATACTTGTCGAAGTACCAAAACTTGATTGGTAGAAATATTTTTTTAAATAAGATTTTTTTTACTGTAGATAAGATACTTTTTACTTAAGATAGGTACTCCATATAGATACTCAAAATATTACAAACAGCCGAAAACGAACGAAAAGGAACAATATTCAAGTATGATATATTCAATTCAATTGTCATAATGTGACATCATTGATATCAGCTATCTTTCCTTGAGGTGTGTATTATACCATTTATTAACGAATCGCCTTGCTGATACTACTTATTTTGCGAAAACATGTTGATAATATGAATAAACTAGAGGTGACATTCATTCCGGTTTTGTCGGTATTGTCCAGGAATAGAATCCTGTGTCTGGGCGAAAAAGAAATGTTGCCCGGGACCCAGAATTATCCCGGAATTCGGCGTTCACATTACTTTCTTTAAATCGTTACAGCATCGTCCATTGATAACTCCGATATTGTGCACAATGTTTCGTGCAATAAAATATACTTTTAAAGTTAAATAATTATCAAAAAATCTCTTTCTTTTCTCCTACCGTTTTCCAAATAGTCTAGGATATGGCGCGTCAAAAAATCCATGAACCCTAACTTTCTGCCGTGTGGTAAATAAGCTCCTGAGTCGATGTGGAGCATTTTTTCTCATACCACATATATATGAGAGAACGGCCATTTTCGAGATTGAGGGGGAGGGGTGGATATCTGGGGAAAAAAGTGGACCCTAGCAACGGAAAGTCAAAGCATCAATTTTTTATAAATCGGGGAAAATAGTGGCAGACAAAACTTTATGGCGGTTTCAGAGGGGGGGTGGGGTTGAAGAAAACCGGAAAAAAAGTGGATCCTAACCGGATCTACTCAAGTGCGATTTTCTTGTTATAACATGCACTTTTATGGAAAAATAGTGGCAGACACCGCAGACAAGCAGTATGACGGTAATTAGAAATCCAACGTGGGAGAATTTCTCATAAAACTCGAAAACTGCTGTAAAACAGAATAAAATAAGTAAATACTAAAACAAATTTCTGCCGCTTGCCAAATAAGTTCCATAACGACCGCACAAACGTTACATACTGCTGGCAGACTATTTTTCCCGGTTTATAAAAAATTGATGCTTTGACTTAGCGTTGCTTCCAGACGGTTAGGGTCCACTTTTTCCCCAGATTGCCCCCCTCCCCCATTCTCGAAATAGGTCATTCTGCCATATATATGTGATATGAGAAAAAATACTCCACATCGACTCGGGAGCTTATTTACCACACGACAAATATACTTATATTGGCATTAGTATCTTTTAATGTTTTAATTATCTGTGCAGAAAAAGCTTTATTTTTTAATAGAGGCTAATTTTATGTGATATATGTTAAGTACTCGTATTTTTGTTGTTTCGTTATTATTTTGGGTTACTTCACTGTGACCGCGACCTTGCCAAAAAAATTTCACCTGCATTGTTTTCTCTGGTCGGATGCGATCAAAAATTCTAGTTACAGTACTGCACTACCAAATTTTTATGACTGCAGCATAGCTTGTACATATAAACCAATGTTGCGTTATTAATATCTACATATGCCTACGACTGACTAAAATGGTTTTTATTTTATTTAATTTTATGTAATTTATATATTTAAAAATTTATTTTTGTTTTGCGATATTCTTTATTACTGATATTTTTTAGTCTCTTATTAAAGATTTATTATTTTATTTTTAAAAATAGTTTTTTGTTTCACACTATTTCCTTCACTGTATAACCGCATCCAACAGTAAGGTGCTGCAGCAAGATTCAGGACGCCTATGGCCTATGGTTTTAACGACATTTGTTAATTTTCAAATATGTTTCATGGAATCTATCATAATATATGCCATGTCGGTAGATTTACTTCATCACTGAAAACCAAAATATGCGGCTGTAGATTTGAAAATTATACTTTGAAATTAACTTGAGATTTTTGGAACAATATATTTTACGTACACCTTCAACAAGCTGTATTATAAATTGACGATTATTTCTTAAATTGTAAAAAAAATATATAATTTATGTCGAACTAGTAGTTTCGTCTCAAGGCCAGTGATACGTGATCAGTGATCGTGTTACATTATAATGTTATATTGTTAAGTATTCGGACTGTTTCAGACATGTGGCCTTTATACTGTGGTTAATTAACTGGTTTTTAAGTTTATTCGTGTGTTGAAGAATACGTATGGTAAACAAAGATTTATATTTTAGCCGTTACTTTCCGTATTAATCACCAGACTCATCAACTTGTCGCGTAAACATAGATGAATTTATTGCGGAGTTTTTCATTTAACAGTCCTTGGCACAAGCATGTCTATTGTAGATATTTAACGCCGCTTTGTTTTAATTATAATTAACTTTGTAATGTAGTAATGCGTCTTTGCCGCCAGCTTTATCGTTCATTGAGATAGAAGTGCAGCTTTCATAAATGATTCCGTTAAGGGCAGAATGAGCGGAACTTTCTTCAATTTAGATACCTTTTTATTGATTATCTACATATTACAGAAATGTACAATTAAACAAACATTCTTTATACAGGTTTCAGTCCAAGGAGAATCACACCAGCAGTAATATTATTATTACTGAAAACAAATCTGATACATGAAGCAAAAGTCAGATCAGACGTTTACGGAACTTTATGCTACACATATTTTTGTATTTATGTATATCTTAATATGGAATTTTAATGCTATTAAATTTTTAACATCATCAAGCTTACATGTGTATATTTCACAGTTATTAGAATAAGATTATTTTAAGAGATTGTAATGTTTTGCTTATTCATTAAATTTGATTTGAAATATGAACTCCATTTTTGTACTTACTATTGGAATGGATCATCCAGTCACACCTTACTTTTACAGGAGAACTATAAAAATTCTCGTTTGAAAGTATTGGCTTGTGCTTGAAATAACATTAATGCACAAAAAAAAGTTTGTACCTTTTCAATACTGAATCAGAATAGCTCTAATTTTTAGCAAAAATATATACCACTTACTACATCTTTACATATTACTTGCAAAATATATTCTATTTTGCTAAACTACCCTCTCCCTAATTTTTATTAATATAGACGGTTTATATTAAAGAAAAATGTGCAAGCATTGAATAATAATACATACTGCATAGTGTATATAATACAATTTGCAAATTTAAACATATTTTACGAATTTCCTAAAATGTAAACCATCTACATCAGCCGGATCCCCAATCTACAATCTAAAATAAACGTGGACGTAGTCACAATAAAAAATATCACCAATGTTATGTGAGATACCTCAACAATCCTCAGCATTTATATACAAACTATATACATTGTTTTAGAATGACTATTGAGATGAAACGAAATATCTAGTGGTAAAATGAATAATATATAAAACAAGCTGCACTTGCCCGAATAATCATTTCGCACTATCTCACTAGGAGTTAAGCAAGCCAAGGTGTGTTACAATCGTTCATTTACGTAACCCTCAGAAGCACCAAAGAAACTGCTAATATCGTCACTGAACTGAACATCCCGATGGAACATGCACCGTCTGGTTTTGCAGGTACATCAGGCTTCTTTTCAGATGAATTTTGTCTGTCGACATTTTGGTCATCGGATAATATATTATGGTTGTCTTCATGGTTTGACAATTTATTATTTTTATCCACGGTTTTATGAGATGTAGGTATTTCAGACGCAATTTCTTGCGGAGTCGATGTTTTAAAAGTGGTGCTAGTAGTTCCGCTGGTAGTGGCGGCTGTAGTAGTTGTCGTAGTAGGTACATGGCTATTGTTGTGGAGGAAATATACGGGATCGTATAGTGCTATCACGTCTGATACTATTTTTTCTCGCTTTGTGTCTCTAATCTCTATTTCTTTTTTCTCGCCGTCTTTATAAATAGCAACAACAGTAGCGTTATACGGTATTTCGGATTCAGTATAATTACCCATTAGTGTTACATTGACAGCGGTGCCAGCTTCTAAATATTTTTCCACCGGTGCTACTTCTGACTTTAGTTCTTCCTTTGGGACCGCCCATTGGCCCTTCACATGCGTACCGTTTGGGAGGGTAACGGTGAATGGTAACCCAGTTAAAAGGCCATGGCCTTTCCCCCAAAATAAGGAATAGTTATATTTGTAACTTATCACACTTGCTACATGTTGCAGGACATCCTCTTCATTTTTCAAAACGGCTTCACCAAGTTTCTTTTGGGTTCTTGGGAATCGACCTCGGAATCGTTCCAATTTTATGGATTTAAGTTCATATGCAATCGGTTCAGTTTCGACTAGAATTTCACCGTCTTCAAACTGAAGCTCATTGTTATTTTGGTCCACCAAATGAAAGACTCCTAGATTTTCCGAGGGTGTAAACTTACCCACATTGTACGTTAGGGAGCCATCCTTATTGTGACTGTTTGCGGATCGTCTCGCTATGTAAGTTTTTAAAATGTTTTCTCCACTAGTTACAGCACCTTCTGAAATCAACGTGTACTTGTTTTTGTACACCCAGCTCAATCTGGAACTTTTTTCAATGCTCACTAAGACTTCAAACTGATTGTATTCGGATACTTTCTTGTACAAGGACACAACACAGGCTGACTTCTTAGGTCGAAGTTGTCCGGACACCCACACACTGTTGATTCTAGCCCTGCAGACGTAAACGGGTTTGTCAACGGTATGGACTAAAATGTCCTGGCTCTCCTCTTCAAGTTCGTTTTCTCTTGGCTCTGTAACAAAGCATAGTAAACAAAATTTCCATATTGTTATTTTTGAACTTCAACTCACCTTCAAATGACTGATAAGCGGCTACAACAGCGCTATCTAAAAGCTTTTCATCAATCTCGTTGCTGGGAACCCATTGCAAGGTGGAGGATGTTATATACTGCTCAAAATTTTCGGACAAGATATGCACAGAGTGGTCTGCCTTTACTGACAATACCTTTAACACTAAGAGTAGCGAAAACGTGTAATAGAGCTCCCCCATTTTGGCCTGGAACAAAATGTTATGTTATGTATGTGTCGCAGGCTCATTGCGAATTCAGTTCTTTTATAAATTATTCAGCAAATTATAAATTGAAGTGTAAATACATTTTTTTTACAATTTGACTGAAAATATTAGGCTCTTTATAAAACGTCTAATAGCTATAAGTCTTATTGTAATCTTATCTTAATTTTCATTTTCTTTGGAATATCACTGACTCTCCAGTCGTTTTGTCAACGACTGAAAATCAATTAAGCATTTCATGAAATATCAATTTTATTATTGCTAGTGCGTACAAAGGACCCCGCACATTTTATATGGAAAACGGTGAAATTTGCTAAAAATTTGGGAAATTGTTCGTTTTGTACCCCTGATCAAAAGTGTCAATGGGGTCGAAGCTCAAAATGCCCATCTTTAGGCTCTACGGCAATTTTTAGTGGCCAAAAACGGCAAAAATTCATTCAGCGTGTCTTCTCTTTCGCTTTATTTACATTGTTTCTCTAGAAATCCGCTTCAGTTATGAACTGCGAACTCTTGGAAAATCTTTGGCAACTCTTTGGCAACTCTTGGGAACTCTTTGAAAAAATGCATGAGAGTTCCAAGTTCAATGAAGGTTATTAAAACCACAAAATAATATTGAGACGGTGTGTATTAAATCTTGTATAATTGTGCATTCAAAAACCCTCTCACACAAATACATATACACACATATAATTAGACATGGACATATTCCTACATAAAATACTCACACGCATACAATTTAATGAAAACTTAAGAGACTGTACAAGCATTAAACATAATATTAAAAAAAAATGAATTTTTGCCGTTTTAATTCTACATATGGCATGAAAAAATAAATGCTAATTCTTACATTTCATTGTTTTAACAATAATGTTACTTATTCGAACAAGCTTCGTTTTGGGTCTTCTAACATCCTGAAACCCAAGTTTTTGATGTGAAAATAGTAAAAGAAATCTGCTAATTGGGCGGTTGTTTACATAATGTCATGCCACGAGATACAGATTCATAACAATGGAAAATATTCATAACAGTGGAAAACAAATCTAGAAACTAGAAAATTAATAATCCGCGCCCGCCTGCCTTGCAATTCGTCTAACCCGAAGACACTCTTATTATAATACGCTTAAATATGTTCAGTTTATTCTAGGCGCAATGTAAAAATAATGGCTTTTGCGTTCATTTTAAAATAAGACATAGCCATTCGGCGTTTTATAAAAAAAAATTGTATTTACATCATTTTACAATTTGCCGTCATTTATATAGGCATTTTATAAAAAAAAATGAATTTGCATTAGCCTGCGACATTATATTATAATTTTTAATTAACTAACTATTGGCACAAGGACATGTCTAAGAAAATATCTGAACTACATCATTAAAATAATTCTTACATTTACGTAATATGGTTTTTTTGACGTAAATTCAAAGTATGCACGTGTTACAGTTTTTCATATTAATATACTGCTGTTTTGGAAATATAGTTTTATGCGCTATTTAAAACTAATTCATGCTTTTAAATATATTTTAGTTTAACCCATCGTGGACATATATCTACATCATTACGAACTCATTCATTGATATGAGAAGGAATACAATTAATGTCCATTTTACTACTACATACTTCTCGATGCGAGCCATAAAAAAAATAAAATAGTAAGCCATTACAAAAATTTAATATTTTCATATTGAGGTTTTATTTATAAAAGTTTTTTATCCATATGCATATAGAAATTAATATAAATGAGAAATTCGACCATACGAAAAATTTAAAATAATACAGGGTTATTCACAGCTTATCCACAAAAATTTAGAAGAATAAATTTGTCATGAAAAATGGAGTCAATATCGTAAAAAAAATTTTGTAAAATCCTTAGTATTTTCAACCTTTACATCGCTGGACTACTGTAGTCTCTAGCGTCATTCGCAATGCGCTCTCTCTCTCTCTCCACGTGGCCCTAGGTGATTCCGAATACTGAAATTCGATTTTAGTATTTTGCGATAGTGTTTACATAAGTCTTTCAAGTGTCAAAAATGGCTTACGTGTATAGCAATTCGGATTTGATGGATATCGTTTTAATTTATGGCAAGACAATATTTGTGTTAGTTCGTAGAAACTGGGTAAAACAGACCCAAATGTGTTTACACGTCGATGGACAAAATTTTGACCAATTGTTAACATCAGGTATGTCAAATTATTTTATTAATTAAATATTAAAATATTAATTAATAAAAACAATAGCGGCAAAAGCGGTTGAATTTGCTGATATAAACTAGGTGTTATAAAATTGTATTTATTTCTTTCCTTGAGAAAAAAATTATTTTAATTTTTTGTCCGTTCATTTTTTATTATCTTTGCCACCGTGCCGGTCACCGACTGCATGCTTTGCCTTGCGCAAGGTCAGGTTTTACAGTGGACCAGTTTCCAGTGTCGTGCAGAAGTGTAATTTTAAATCATTTTCGAACAGCCCCTTTTGATTTTTTTTTACAAAATTGTATTTGTCCACCGTACATACGAACATTTTTGGATAAGTTCTGAATCACCCTGTATAATATCTACGATTAGGACAGAAGCTAGGAGGATACTGTTCTAAATTTTGTCCAACTTGATACACTAATCAAATAATAATAGTAATGCATGGAAAACTATTAAAGTGGAATGAAGACTTTTCGCTTTGCAACCTTTCTAATCATTTTGTGTTGAACGCTTCGCTGCCTGTGGATATGTATTGCATTTTTATATATTTACATTTTATATTAATTTATAATTGGGTACTAATTATAATTAAGTACTCATGCAAAATTCAACTATGTGACTGTTATGATACGATTATTTAAAAACATATTGTGGTCAAGGATAAATCGAGGGATATATATTATATCAGCGATACTAAATTTATTTTTCGAATCTAAAGTAACGAACACCAACGAAAAGTATATAGGTACTTAAGAATGCATTAGTTTACTCGATAAAAGTTTTATAAGATACGTTTAAAGAAGAGACAATTTCACAACTGGAGGTACATAATTTTCATATATGTAGCTACATCGGTAGGTACATTACATATTTAGTTTCTGTTGGTTTAGTGCCTTTTATTATCCATTCATGTAGCCAGACTAAACTGTGGGCTTGTCGGAGCGTTAATTCAAGTTCTAAGTGTTCCGGTGAATTTACCGGTTTGTTTACGCCTACAAAGATGTGAGGCTGTCTTCATCCCACATTCAAAAGTTTACGTTCGGGCCCATAGAATATTTTATGGTTTATTGTCCTCTGAATGCACTAATTAACCATTACAAATATAAAAACTGAATTTGTGTAATCCACCATTATTCTACCATTTTTTTTTTTAATTTTTTGTACCTAACTAAAAGTTTGGAGACAAGAGCGACAATAAGTACAGTTTAATTTAATTTAACTAGAGTCGCTTTAGTAATAAAAAAAGCTATTTATGGCTTTTTGTATTTTTTTATTCATATACAGTGTGTCCACATTTACATATAGGTACACAGGCCAATATACGTAAAAAACAAATTCAGTTCAAATATTTATTTTGATAGACCACCCTGAACATATTTTATATATAGTTATTTTAACAATATAGCTACATATATATAATTTATAAAAAATTCAAGATTCCTATACTATACATTTTAATTCATTAATTTTTCTTTTTATTTATTTAAAAATTTGACTCGTATCTAAAGAAAAGGTAATTCATTTATGTTTTTTCATGAACAATTTACACTTTTGCACATTTATACTTTAATAATTTGCAGCAAACAAAGCAATTTTATGCAAATTGTGGTTTCAGTAGAGATGAAAAAAGTGTCAAAATGATTCAATTTAATGAAACATTTATTTGTGGTACAAATCTAAAACTATTTAAAAACGATAATGAAACGGTATAATTTCACTTGACAAATATGGAATATGAATTTAACATTAAAAATAATATATTGTAAAGCGATTACAATAACATTTATACTGCATCATTCCTTTTAAATTGAATTTATCATAAAATATATGAGTTGAAAAAAATAGTCTGCTGGAGATGTTTTTTCGTTCTTCAGCTTGTCAACTTGCCACAAACCAAAAAAAACTTTCTAAGTTTGCAACCCTTTTTGTAAAATATATAATTTTCAAAAATTCCTACTTCTAATAAATTAAAATAACTACTAATATGCTTTAAAAAATATGTTAATTTACATTTACACATATAAAATGTGTTATAATACCAATCCTTTTAATATAAGTTTATTGTGAGTACTAATTCACATAAAAAATGTGTACCTTGTGAGACGAATTGTAATGCAACAACATGTTTTTTCGTGAAAGTCTTGAAATATATATGTAGCCATGACGTACAGTTTTATGTCCTACTTATTTTGTCACGGTTATTGTTCAATATTAAAACCTGCTTAGAATATGGAAATATATCTTCCATCAGCGATAGTAGTACAACTTTTTTTAAAACTTATCGTTAGTATAACATAACATAATATATATGTATATTGACTATGACTAAACAACCAAAATATCTAAATACGATTGTACCCCTTAAAAACAGAAAGTTCAAAGATGATTATCAAATCAAATCAAATATGACCTTTGACGCGCCAAAAGAATTTTACAACAAATATTTAACTAGAAGGCAAATATTCATCTTATCACAATTTTATAGAAAATAAATTTACATGAGTATAACCTTTATCCTGATATTTAAATGCCACAAATTTAGTGACCTCATTCAATCCGCGATCGTGACCTTTACAATTTACCTATGAAAAATATTTTAGGCAAAATTATTCCGACAAAAACACATTAAATTGTAGATACATTTAAAAGTGTCCTTGTCACAGTTTATTATATCCAAACATAGAGCTCTATTTTTTATGTGAAATCCAACAGCCATGACCTCACAGAAACACTCATTTGAGGTATATGAACAACAAAAAATTATAAAGTATACAATTACATAATGTAGATACAA